AAATAAAACTTAATTTGATCCATGAAATAGCTGTGGTTTATTGTGTAATATATGTGCTATGTGTTTTAATTTAATAGAATCCAATATAATTGTAAGCCAGTTGAGTTTCGGAGCAATTTTGGGTTGTTCCCACAGTGTGCAGAGCACAGATGCCACTTTGTGCATCACACCAGCACATCCATAAATCAGGAATATAGGAAGGATTATCCACAAAGCAGCAAGTAATGCTTCATCACGCTCCAGACAGAAAATAAAACCTTTGAGGGAAGCCAAAGGAGTTATTTACAGGAAATAACTCGGGATGCTCTCAACTCAGCCAAGCTCCTGGATGCAGTTTTGGGGTGCTGGACCAGCCCCAGACATCACCCAGTGATGTCGTGGACCCCTTTGCAGTGCCCCCAGCCCATCTCAAGTGAGGGGAGATGGAGGTGAATCCTGATTTTTGCTTTCTAGGAAGCTCGTGGTCATTCATGAGAGCAGATCTGTGTTCTCCCACCAGGCAGTTCCTGCTCCCAAACAGCTCAGGCCAGCAGGGACACACTGAGGGGAAGGAATCAGGATCTCTGCTCCCCCAGCCTCAGAAATGAGCAATAATTTGAGCTTAAACCAGCCAGGGAACAGCAGATCCCCACTGCCAGCTCCCTGCACAGAGCATTTACCTCCATGAGAGACACATTGGATTTTTTTTTTTTGTCTTGGTGTTTGTCAGGGAAAATCCCACAACCCTGCTGCTCATCCCACAGCCCTCAGAGGCACCAGCAGCTCCATCCTCTGACCCAGCACCACCTTGGGCAGCTCCTAAAGCTCTTCCTCCACTTCAACCCCACCCCAGAGCACCCAGAGCTTTGGGAAGCACAGGTTGGTGTGTAAGAAGCTCTGCTGCTTTTCTAAAAGCATTAAGCCACTGATTATTAACCCATAATCCCATGGAGCTGGAGACCTTCCACCACTCCCACAGCATCACCCCTCAAACCAAACCTCCAGCTCCTCTCTCTGCACCAACAAGGATTTTTGTCTTCTCCCTTGGTAGCTCACACAGAGCCCTGAGTTACGCACTGAACATTGAATTATCCACTTTTACTGTAAAGATAAAGCCCTGGGAAGAAAGATTATGGCCTGAAGACTGGCAGCCCCAATAAAACTGCAGCCAAACCTGTGTCACAAAGGGTCTCAGCCTCTCTTTTTCAGAAGAGCTGAGAGTGGATGAATTTAGCAATAATTTCTTTTCCATCCTGGCTGGTGAAAAGCATTTCTCAGTCACAGCAGCAATGAAAGTCAAGGACTGGGATGATGAATGTTTGCTCACAGGAGGAGCAGCAGCCTCTGGGACCCACCAGCAGTAACTGGCTGCTCCTCCTCAGCCCAGTACACAGTTTTAAAATCCATTATTGCTAAATTAAGAGGATCTCATCAAATAAATACACTCGACACACCAAAGCCTGCAAGGACTCAGGTCCAACGCTGGAATTACTAATTCAGGAGTTCCACTGGAATGAACCTGGGGTACACCCAGAACAGCAGGAGAATTCAGCTGATGCCTCCATGGAAGCCTTGGCACTCACAGAATATTTGTCCAGAGAGTTTCACTGCCTGAACACCAGCTCAGGACACCTCCCTGTCCCTGTCCCACCACCCCCACAGGTGATCCATGAAGATCCAGGTGAAGTCACACCACCAAGATCTGATTCCTCCCTGTCAAAGCCACCCAAGGGCTGTGCCGAGGCAGCTCCACCTGAGGAGTCACAGCCACCAAAGCCACCCTGCAACAAAACCATCACCTCTGACACAGCCCCTGATAAACCAGAGCAGCTCCGGGGTCAGTGCCTGGCTGGGGCTCTCCAGCACAAGGACAGAGATGTGTTTGCTCAGGGATTTGCTGCCCTGGCTCTCAGGGGTGCTCCAGACCCCCAGCCTTGGCACTAAGGAGCAGCAGAATCGGCTCCCTGAGCTCAGGCTGACCCCTGAGTGTTCCAGCACTGCCACAGAGAAAAAAAACAAACCAAAACCTTCACTTCCCCACTGCACTGCCCAAAACATCCCTCCAAAAAAAAGCCCCTGGTGGTTTGTGACCACAGGGGTGACCCAAGAGCCTCCTCAGGACAAAGCTGAGGCAGCTCCGGCTCCAAAGGAGCCACACAAAGCCTGGAGCAGCAGCAGGAGCTCAGTCCAAGCACAGCCCAGCACCTCCTGCCCAGCGGGTCCTTTAATTTCTACCTTTAAAATTCTATAACACCACAGATCTTAAAGGAATAATAGCAAACTTGCCACTTACCTCGGGTGCTGGGAGACCATAATTCCTGCAGGAAAGAGGAAAAAAAATCCCACTTGGAGAAACTCAGGAGTGTGTGACCATCCTGCTTTTATAGGGGCTGGGGCAAACAGCAGAATCCCATCAGCTCATCAATCAAACCCAACCATGCCCAGCTGCTCCTGCAAACCTGGCAGGGAATTAAATCTTCTTTCCCCATGGAAGTGGCCCTCCACCCACAACCACCCCAAGAGCTGCTCCAGGGGCCAATTCCCAGCCCCCAGGTCCGACCCCAGTGCAGGGGATGCACAGGGAAGGCTCCAGCTGAGCTCTGAGAGGGTCCAGTGTGCAGCTCAATAGCTTTGAAGTCCTGAAGTTCCTTTAAAGAGCTCTAAGTTTCAATGATTATAAGGTATTAAAGGGGCAAAATGAGACAGAAAAGGATGCTTGATGTCTTATTTCATTGCCTCACCATAAAATCCTTTTTTATTCCCTTTTAAGCCCTGTTGTCAAGTGAAATAAAATTCCAGATTTATTCCTGGGGAAGTGTATGAGTAATGAAAAAAAGAGAATTATAAGCACCATCAGTGGATTGCACAAGGGAAAGCCCAGAGTTAACCCTCAAATCCATCCTTGGTGCTTTTTTGTCCAAAATATGGATGAAATGAGTAATAAGTGGAAAATGGTGGCACTGCTGCACGAGGAGGAGGAGAACAGGGAGCAAAGTGTGAGTGTGGGTGGTGGGAAATGCTGGGAAAAAGGAAACAGGGAAAGCAAATTTTACTGGTGCTTCCCAGGTAAAATGAGGACAGTATTAATAAAAATCTCTTTAAAAATTCCCTAAAACATACAAATGACCTGACTGACTGTGTGAAAGTGATACAGAAAGGGAGGTGGGTGGTTTGGCAGGACCCACCAAACCGAAGCCAAAGGGATAAAAAAACCCCTGCAAAGCTCTTGAAAGTTGCTTTAAATGAGAGTGACATGTTTTGACACCGTTCCCTAAGAATGGCTGTAACACAAACAAAAATTAATGATGTCAAGTATTAATACTGATGCTGCAGGAATTCAACCAATGTGGTCTCAATTAAACATCAAATATGGTTATAATTTGAAAAATGACTGCGGGAATGTCATTGCAACATTCCCTGCTCGGATCTCTCCCAGCACCCACCCAGGTTTGTGTTTCCCTGTGAGATGCAGCCTCCACCTTCCTCCATATCCCTGGAAGTGTCCCAGGCCAGGCTGGATGGGGACTGAAGCACCCTGGGATAGTGGAAGGTGTGGAACAAGATGAGATTTCAGGTGTGCTCCAACCCAAACCATTCCAGGATTCCAAAATTCTGTGATTCCAAAATTCTGTGATTCCCCATCCTCACTCGTGGCTGTGGCAGGAACACCAGGGCCAGGTGCCAAAATGCACCAGGAGAGCTTTTGAGTAGTAAATTTAAGCCCTAATTAACTCTTTGAGTTTGCATCTTTTGCTCTGCAAATACGAAGGTGACAAAAACATCCTCTGCAACCTTGAAAGCTTCCCAGTCACTGGGATTTTATGGAAATCAAAGGCACAGGGATTTGGAGCAGAACTCTAGGACTTGGCAGAGCTGCTCCCTGGCAATAAATAACTTCCCTGACCAAGCACAGCCCGTGTCCAGCCTGCCCCTGCCAGGCCCAGCACAAGTCAGAGCAAAGGGGCTGATTTTATCCAGCATTTCCAGGGAGAATAAATCAGCTGAGACAGGCACATCTGAGCTGGACATTTTTTTGGCTGCAGCTGCTCCTCAGAGTAAATATATTCTTCCCAAACACTCCTGGATCATTTATTGCCTGGATGAGAGATTGGGAGATCTACAGGACAAAGCTGCTCACGATTCCTCCGAGGCACTGGAGACGTTCCTGAAATCCAGGCCATGCTCCAATGGAGGATCCACCCAACCATGACTTGTCCAAAACCTCCATTTGATTTCTCAACCATCAAAACACGTCTGGAACGTGCAGGACTCCCAGACAACCCCTGGCTAAGGCTGAAAATCCAAACTGGTCCTGCTGGGCAGCTTTGTGACCGTGGAATATTCTGCTTTTCTCCACTGATGAAGATTAACCTGCACAAATATGGATGTGCACCCTCATCCTCACCCTGTTCTGTGCTATCAGAGAGGTCAGACAGCCCTGAGTGAGAAGAGCTCCAGATGTTCCTCTCACCTCCTCCCAGGGCTCCCTGGCCTCACTCACCCTCCTCCTGGAGCCAGCTGCAGCCTTCCAACTCATTCATTGATTTTCCAGGGTCCTGGCTGAGATGGGAGACAGCAGCTGCCCCCTGGAACTCCCCTGACTGCTCCCAACTTCAGCTGGGGGGGGAAGAAAAAAGACAAATCCCCCCCCATAATGCGAATACTTTATTATCAATGAGTGACTGGTATTAGCTTTTTGTCTGGGTATTAATAATATTTCAAAAAACCATACATCAAAATTAGGGCTTTCTCCTATTTTTGCTGTATAATTTTTGTTTTTTTTTCTTTTTTTTTTAAAAATCTGTATTGAAAGAATTATATAAGCCAAAGTGCATTTTCTGTTTTTTGTCCATATACACATTGCACCATACATAAATAATTACATTGTAAAAATGACTCCATAATTACAAGTATAATATATATTTTCATATAATATATAAAACTTTATATTAAATCTAGGTAGATGATATTTGGGATAGTCTGTGTCTTTTTTTTTTTTTTTTTTTTTTTTAAGTTTTGTGTGTGTGTGGGTTTGTTGTTTTTTTTTTTTATTGTCGTTTTTTTTTTTCCTTTCTCCTGCTTATCGATTGTTGCTGAGTAGGATCTCCAGCCAACAAGGACACGACGTGATGAACTGTCTGGAATAACACGGCCCCCAACCCTTGGCGAAACTGATGCGGACGCTGTTGGGATCGTAGGGCCCGTCTGCATAATCCAGCTCTGCCGTGTGCTGCAGCAGGCACGACTTCTCGTAGTCAAACACCTTGATGGAGTAGCCCGGCATCACCTTACGTACAATCAGAGTCCTACAGTTGGGGATGTCCAGTGTCGGCGAGTTGACGAAGATGGGATGCTCGCTGCGGTTGTAGGCCCACACCCCGTCCGGTTCCTTGCTCAGTAAAATCCCGTAGCCGATTTTACTTCGAGTCCTTCTCACAGTCTCGCTCCTGTTGTCCAGGTTGAGCTGTCCGAGGCAGAAGCCGTTTCCTTGAGGTAGGTCGTAGAAGATACTGACAGACTGTTCGTACACTGTGTACAGGCGGCCCACGCGTGTCCGGTGCTCCCAGTAGGCCACGTTGCACCAATGGCTCCTCTTCACGGCATTGGGCGACGTGCTGGCGTCTGTGGGGGACAGAGAGGGGGGGTCAGGAATGTTGGGATCACCTGGGAAAACACAGGGATGGAGGCTGGGAAATGGTTCCTCCCATCCATCAGCTGTGAGCAGTGAGAGCTTGAACTCGTGCTCAACTCAACCCTCATGTTCAACACAGACTCTGTGTTCAACCCAAAACTTGTGTTCCACACAAACTCCACGCTCTTCCCAAAATTGGGGTTCAACCCAAAACTTGTGTTCCACACGAACTCCATGCTCTTCTCAAAACTGGTGCTCAACCCAACTCTTGTGTTGAACACAAACCTTGTGTTCAACACAAAGACAGTGTTCAACCCAAATTTCATGCTCAATACAAAACCAGTGTTCAACCCAACCCTCATGTTCAACACAGACTCTGTGTTCAACCCAAAACTTGTGTTCAACACAAACTCCACGCTCTTCCCAAAACTGGTGTTCAACCCAAAACATGTGTTCAACACAAAATTGGTGTTCAACCCAAATTTCATGCTCAACACAAAGATGGTGCTCAACCCAAACCTTGTGTTCCACACAAACTCCATGCTCTTCTCAAAACCGGTGTTCAACCCAACCCTCATGTTCAACACAAACTTCGTGTTCAACACAAATTCCACGCTCTTCCCAAAATTGGTGTTCAATCCAAAGATGGTGCTCAACCCAAAACTTGTGTTCAAGCCAAAACTGGAATTTAACCCAAAGTTCATGCTCAATCTAAAACTTGTGCTCCACACAAACTCCATGTTCAAGCCAAACTTGTATTTAGCTCAAAGTTTGTGCTCAATCCAAAACCTGTGCTCAACCCATAAGTTCTGTTCAACACAAACTTCAAGTTCAACCCCGTATTTGTGTTTGACCCAAACTTGTATTTAACCCAAAATTTGTGTTCACTTCAAAAGTTGTTTAACCCAAAGTTTGTGCTCAACCCAAAGTCCATTTCAACCCAAAGCTTGTGCTCAACTCAAATCCTGTCTTAATTAACCCAAAGTCCATTTCAACCCAAAGCTTGTGCTCAACTCAAATCCTGTCTTAATTATGTCAAATGCCACCAAGACTGGTGGCTCAAGCCCAGGCTGGAGACCCCACAGGACGCCCATGAGCTCAGCACATCTCTCTCTCTCTACAATTAACATCCAATCCTGCATCCAGCAGCTGGATCCACGTGTCCTCAGGATATTTGCATTCCTCCCACCTCCCCAGCACTCCTGTGTTCCTGCAGCCCCACTTTCCAAGCCCAGCTTGTGCTGAGCTGAGCCCAGGGGACGTGCCTGCATGAGTGACCCGCCGGGTGTCTCCTCTGTGTAATATTCTCTGACAGCGACGCTGATGTTCCCACGGGGAACATGAAATCTGAGGAAGTGTTTCATGCCAAGGGGGAGTAGCTGCTATGAACTATACATGTCCTTCTAAAAACCCATTGGAACTCTCTCCAGACAATGAGAAACGTCTCTTCTTTCTAGGAATTACATTCAGGGAAGACGGGAGGGGACGCAGGCTGCCAGAAATCTGTTTAATCTATGATGCCTCCAGAATTTATGATGTCTCCAGAAGGAAGACAGGAAAAGAAAGAGCCCCAAAGAGGGTGAATTAACCACTTGCTGAACATCATTCCTGCTCCTACCACACCGGGTAACAGAAAACCACTATGGAATTTGCAGGCAGGAGCCGTGCTCCGAGCCCAGCATAAGCTCCCTGACAATCCCTCACGTGCCCATGGCCTGCTGACCCCGGTGCCTCCGTGCCATCATGTCCCATTAACTCACCCACGGGGTGATGCCATTATTTTGCTCCAGAGCCCCCATTGATGCACCGGATTTCAGGCACAGCCCTCCAGCCCCGCTTCTTTTCAGGCTCAAATTACCCCGGAGGGCACCGGGCTCCCCCCTCCCCATTAACCAGCTTTGAATTAAGCGGCTTTGTTGGAGTTTAACTGGAGTTGTAACTATACAAATTTCAGGGGAGGGACAGGGGGGAGGGGTGATGGGGCAGGCAGGGAGGGAGCAGGATGTCCTTTGCTCTGGGCAACGCTCATCAGCCTCAAGCAGCCCCTTCACCCATCACAGATTACATTTTTGGGGGGACCATGTCAGTCTCTTCCCCTTCACCCATCACAGATCACATTTTTGGGGGGACCATGTCAGTCTCTTCCCCTTCACCCACCACAGGTCACACTTTTTTGGGGACACCATCTCAGTCCACCCCCCTGCCATCACCAGGGACAACTTCCACTAAACCAGGGTGCTCATCCAGTCTCCACAGCCATTTTTTCCCTGGGACATCCTACAGATGCTCCCAAAACCTTTCCAAAGCTCTCCCCAAACGCTGAGCTCTGCTCTTGTCCCACTCCAATGATCTGGGGGCTACAGACCAGCTCAGGGCCTTTCATGTTCTGGGGCTGGAGGCTGGTAGCAATTACTGAGCTCTGCATCTGTTTAACCTCCCAACCTCCTCAAAGCCCTCCATGCCCATTAGCTATGTTGGTTTTGTTATTACATTTTTGAGAAACTACTGCTCAGCCTCTGCATTTCCCTTACAGATTAAGGATGGGACAACTTCAAACCTCCAGTGTCCCCAGCAGCTTCATTAATCAGGGGAACAGTCAGCAATAAACATTTATATAGGAGTTTCTCATGGTTTATTGCAAATTAATGTACAAGAGGGGAAAGTAAAGCTGGAGGAAAACAGTGCCTATCCTACAAAAATATTCTGCTGCAAGTGCCAACAGCCCTGGTGCCATCTCTGCTTTCCAGGAACTGGGAAATATCTAAGCAAAATCATCCATGAAAATAGGAGAAGGGCTTTTCACATGGAAATAGCTTTATTAAAAGCACTTCTGTGCAACTTGTGGCAGGAATTTCACTCCATCCATCCATGAATGCATGTCCCTGCCAATGTGCTCCTCATCTCTGTCACCCCACAGCTCCTGCCTGGCAGTGCCAGCTCTGCCAGCTCACAGCACCCCTGGAGATTGTCCTGTGCTCCTTCAAACAGGTGAGGACGTGAGTTTTAGGTAACTGCACTTCAAGAAGTGAGAAGTTTCCTTTCAACCTACTTCTTTTAGCCAGGGGAGAGGAAAGTCTTTAAAATACAAAAAAATAAAAAATAAAAAATCAACCCACAGGGAAATGAACCCCTGGAAGGAGGCAGCTCAGGCTCATCTGAGAAGCCCCTGCCTGCAGGAAGCTTTGCAGGGTCCCTCTCCCAGCACTCCCCGTGCCCTGGTGGGTTCCTCTCCCTCCTTTTATCTCCCAGTGCACTCAACCAATTCCTGCAAAGATGAACTCATCCCACAGCCCTGACATAAAACAAGCACTTCAGCAAGCCCCCAAATCAGGGGGGCCTGTGCTGTGTCTCATCCCCTGCCAAGTATTAGTTTGCCTCCAGCTATTAGCCACTACCACTCTGCAGAGAGCAGGGGCGGCCAGCACACCACCACCTCCTCCTCTGCCTTTTAAATAAATATTCCACTTTTCCCTCCTCTTTTTTTTCCACGCTGCCCTTTATGAACAGACAAGAAAATCCACTTTTTGTTCTGTTTTTTTCCCCCCCCTCCTCCCACTTCTGCTGGAACAGAGGCGGGCTTGTTAACGTTCTTTTTGAAGAAAGGAAAATATTTGAGTCCCCGCAGTGGTACAGGACGGGTTTTTAACAACTATCATTGTAAGCAGCTACAACTTGTAGCAGCTCCAGAGGGGCTGGCGTCAGGGCTATCTCCTCCATCAAAGCCACCTTCATCCATCAGATGGAGGGGCTGAAACTCTGCCTTGTGTTTACTCCTTCCTCCGCTTCCTCCTCGGCAGCCTCGCAGAACATCCCAAAGTGAATTCAAACAATTGGAGATAAAGGAACAAGATAGGAGAATCAAACTCAGAATTTAAAGGGAAAAGGCTCCTGCGTGGCTCAGGCGAAAGGAATCTGGGTCTGGGAATAAATGCAGAGAGCAAACACTGTAAATCCTCCTGGTGTTAGCAGCACTGCTGCTGTCGCTCCCTGCAGAGTGTGGAGGTAAAGAAAATAACTTGAGGTTTGAGACTATTTGTGATTTGACAGCGTTTTATGCCAGTAAAGTTCAAAGGAGTGTTTTAAAAGAGAAAAGAAAGATGCTTTTTTCCAAAACAAAACGCTGCACAGTCCCACTGCTTGATGTTGCACTTAAAAGCAGCATGGAAAACATGGGCAGATCACGAAACACATGAAATAAACGGCTCTGATTCATTCTTTGGCTTTTCCAAAGCCACCAAAACCTCCTCCCAGCAGGTCAAATGGCCCTCTCAGATCATGGCTGCAAGGATGAGCTTCTCAAAGCACATTGAAGAGGTGCCCATAGGGAAGACCATGCACATGAAAAATAAATCATTGCACTCTCCAGATGTGAAGGGGACTCGAATGCACATCTGGGCAACCTGGAAACGAAGCAGGATATTCAAAAGTCCCCCACACCACAGAGCCCACTCCCCATTTCCATGTCCCTCCCTCTTGTACTCCTGTGTCACAGGGCAGCCTCACACTCCACTGGCCATGGAGCTCACTTACATCCTCCCTCAACACCTTTCCATTCAGTTTTATTCCACTTTTGGACTAAGAGACCCAGGCTCAGTCATTTTCCTCCCCTCTGCCACAGCACAGATCTGTATTTACACTGCCCAGCACACAGGAGCAGGGAAGCAGGAAGGTTAGAGCCACACACAGGTCATTGTGAACGAGGTCCAGATAAAAAGCCCAGCACAAAGAACACACACATTTCCCCAAAATCTATTAACAGTTCACTGGGGAGCCATCAGTTAAAATAATCTCCCATTAATACCCTTGGAAACAAGCACCAGGGTAAAGAAGGGGTTAAAACTTTCCACAGCAGAAATGGAATTTTTATGGCCTGGCAAAAAGAAAAAAAAAAAAAGAAAGAAAGAAAGAAAAAAATTAATTGTCAATCTGCCCCAGCAAAGCTCACAACCATTTTCTTTAAGCCAATACACTTAAAATACCTCTGCCTTAC